TGTAGGCTGTTGCCATGGCAGCATCGCCTGGTTGGTACAACAGGTGTAGAGGGAGAGTCATTTGTCGACCCGTCATCATCTCGAAAGGAGAGATGCCAGTCGACGTGTGTGGAGTGGCCCTTATGGCCATGAGGACCAGAGGGAGTTTCACGTCCCAGTCCTTGTGGTTTGCGGCTACGTATTTTTTCAAAATACTCACCACAGTCCTGTTTGCTCTCTCAACCTGGCCTGAAGCCTGTGGGTGGTAGCCAATATGGAAGTTGGCTTTGACGCCTAGCGTCTTCCACAGTTCCTTCATTACTTCACCTGTGAAGTGTGTACCTTGGTCTGAGTTCACCCTAAGGGGAAGTCCAAACCTTGAAAATACATGATTCATTAACAACATAGCAGTGGTTTGTGCTGTGTCATTAGGGGCTGGTAGACATTCTACCCATTTGGTAAACGCGCAGGTTACCGTGAGAAAATATTTATTTCCTCTAGAGGTCTTAGTGAGTGGTCCGACCCAGTCAATCTGGAGGTCCGACCATGGAAATGCAATGCCTCTATTATGCAGTGGTGCTCTGTGAAGTGGTCTGGATGGCTGAAACTGGCCACAAACCAGGCACCCTTTTATGTAGTCTTTGACATCCTTTTTCATTCCAGGCCAATAAGCAATCTGTTTTAATGCTTTCAGCGTGGCATTATCACCCTTATGTCCTGCGGACGGAAGGTCATGTGCATGAACTAACATCACCCCCCTGTGGTCATGGGGGACCACGAACACAGGTGAGGACGTCCGTCCATGAGCAAAAGTTAGGATGCCCTTAAGTAGTTTTAGCTGTTTGCGCAGCTGAAAGAAGACTTTAAGGTCTGGATTGGAATCCAGTTCACCTTTCGATGGAGTGTATCTGTCTGGGTCAGTCAGATACAGCATCATCGAGTTAATTGCAGGATCCAACTTCTGAAGTTGGATGATGTCTGGGTCAGTCAGCATCGGGCGCACAGAAACTGTGTTATCAGCAGGTTTAGCTGCAGCCTGTGCACGTGTGACTGCCATTACCTCAGTTGTAGCTTGTGATGACTGAGTGTTGAGTAGCCAGGAGGGGTCAAAGGACCACGTGGGTCCGTCAACGGCTCCTTCCTTGGCTAGGGAGTCTGCAAGGTCATTGTAGTGCTTGTCATCGCCTGGGACTCTGGAGTGTCCTGGAACTTTCTTCCAGAAGATCTGTAGATCATGTGATATCACCAAGTGATCACATGTCATGAAAAGCTCTTTGTGTTTTACCACCTTTTTGTTGCTTGTGAGAAAACCGTTCTGTTTCCACAGAGCGAGATGACACAAGAAACTAAGTCGAGCATAGTTAGAGTCAGTGCAGATGACTAGCGTCTGGATGGAGCGTTCCACTGCCATCTGTAGGCCTATTAGGATTCCAGCTATCTCAGCGTACTGAGAAGACTGAGAGCCCAATTTATAGCCAAATGTGACCTGTTCTAGGTCTTGGAGGAGAACTCCTCCAACACCTGCTTTGCAGATTTTCTTGTGGTGGAACGAGCATCCATCCACGTACAATGTCGCCATATCTTTACAGATATTGCTATCAAAGAAATGGTGATTTGGGTCCTCAGCAGCTGAGGGTTTACTCACAACCGGCTGTTGGGTGGCTGGTACATCCTGTGTACATTCCTGGCAGAGTGCCAAATCAGTGCCCAAGTGTGACTTCTTATTTTGACCGTAGCGGATGTCTAGGTTAAAACTTTGAAGTGCCATAAGCCATGTGGCTACACGTGAGTTTGTCACCACACCATCTCTGATGCGTTGGCTGTTCAGAAACGTTACTGGCTGGTGTTGTGTCTCAACAATAATCCTCTGTCCACCAATATAGCAGGATAAATGTTTCACTGCCCACACAGTGGTCAATAGAGCCTTCTCACAGTCTGAATACCGTAATTCAGGGCCTGCCATTGTTTTGCTGGCGTAGGCCACAACACGCTTGTCTTCGTCGTGTATCTGGTATAGACCTGCACTCATGCAGTGAGTTGAGAAGCCCACTTCCAAGTAGAACTCTTTGTTGTAGTCTGGGTAGACTAGACATGGGGCTAACTTGAGCCTGTCTTTGAGAGCGTTCATTGCCTGCTGCTGTGTATCAGTCCAGACAAAAGGAACGTCTTTCTTTAAGAGTTCAGTCAGTGGTTTTGCGAGATCCGCATAATGCTCTATGAACTGGCGAGAGTAATTACACACTCCCAAGAAACTCTGCAGTTCTTTGAGAACCTAGGCCTAGTTCACTACAGCAGCAGCATCATGGTGTGGGGATGTTTCATCAGCAGGAGCTGTGAGGGTCAGAGTTAAGAGAAAGTTGGAAGTAAAAAAATAATAATGAAGACGTACAAACTTGAGACGATGCTGAAGGATGAGAGATAATGTTTTGTGTTTGTGCATGATTGTTAGCAAAATATCTTTTGAACCAGTGGAGGGATTTGAATGAAACTTTCAGGATATAATTACTGGATATATATCTACAACTCTTTGAGTTTTGAAGTCAATCTGATTCAAGATGGCCGCCACAGCCAATCAAACCTATAAAACACAAACACGGCTCTAATTCAGCCACTTTTACAGATGTTGGGCTCAAATGTGGTGTGGTATCTACAGGTGATGAAAAGTGGCTAAAGCACCTGACATGGATAAATTAATGTTCATGAGACCTCAAACCGTCGGTGAGTGATGCTGTTAGGCTGAAGAAGGAGTCCTATCGGGTCTTTTTGGCCTGTGGGACCCCGGAAGCAGGTGATGGGTACTGGCAGTCCAAGCGACGTGCGGCTCGGGTGGTTGCTGAGGCAAAAACTCGAGCATGGGAGGAGTTTGGAGAGGCCATGGAGAATGGCTTCCGTATGGCTTTGAGGCGATTCTGGTCCATCATCCGGCGTCTCGGGGGGGAAAGCGGTACACCACCAACACTGTTTATAGTGGGGGTGGTGTGCTGCTGACCTCAACTTGGGATGTCGTGGGTCGGTGGGCAGAATATTTTGAAGACCTCCTCAATCCCACCGGCACGTCTTCCACTGAGGAAGCGGAACCTGGGGACTCTGGGTTGGGCCCTCCAATCTCTGGTGCTGTGGTCACCGAGGTGGTTAAAAAGCTTCTGGGTGGCAGGGCCCCAGGGGTGGATGAGATTCGCCCGGAGTTCCTTAAGGCTCTGGATGTTGTACGGTTGTGTCGGCTTACGCGACTCTGCAATATTGCGTGGACGTCGGGGGAAGTTCCCCTGGATTGGCAGACTGGGGTGGTGGTCCCCCTATTCAAAAAGGGGGACCGTAGAGTATGTTCCAACTACAGGGGGATCACACTCTTAAGCCTCCCTGGTAAGGTCTATTCGGGGGATCTGGAGAGGAGGGTCCTTCAGATAGTCGAACCTCGGATTCAGGAGGAGCAGTGCGGTTTTCGTCCTGGTTGTGGAACACTGGACCAGCTCTACACTCTCAGCAGGGTCCTAGAGGGTGCGTGGGAGTTTGCCCAACCGGTCTACATGTGCTTTGTGGACTTGGAGAAGGTGTTCGACCGCATCCCTCGGGGAACCCTGTGGGGGGTACTCTGGGAGTATGGGGTACCAGGCCCTTTGATACGGGCTGTTAGGTCCCTGTATGACCGGTGTCAGAGCCTGGTCTGCATCGCCGGCAGTAAGTCGGGCTTGTTCCCGGTGAGAGTTGGATCTGCCAAGGTTGCCCTTTGTCACCGATTCTGTTCATAACTTTTATGGACAGAATTTCTAGGCACAGCCAAGGTGTTGAAGGGATCCATTTTGGTGGCCTTAGGATTGTGTCTCTGCTTTTTGCAGATGATGTGGTCCTGTTGGCTTCATCAGATCATGATCTACAGCTTTCGCTGGAGCGGTTCTCAGCTGAGTGCGACACGGCCGGGATGAGGATCAGTTCCTGCAAATCCAAGGCCATGGTCTTGAGCCGAAAAAGCGTAGAGTGCCCTCTCCGGGTCAGGGAGGAGGTCCTGCCCCAAGTGGAGGAGTTCAAGTATCTTGGGGTCTTGTTCACGAATGAGGGGAAAATGGAGCGTGATATCGATAGGCGGATAGGTGCAGCGTCTGCAGTGAAGCAGGCGCTGTACAGGTCTGTCGTGGTGAAGAGAGAGCTGAGTCAAAAGGCGAAGCTCTCAATTTACCGATCGATCTACGTTCCCACCCTCATCTATGGTCATGAGCTTTGGGTTGTGACCGAAAGAACGAGATCACGGATACAAGCAGCCGAAATGAGTTTTCTCAGCAGGGTGTCTGGGCTCTCCCTTAGAGATAGGGTGAGAAGGTTGGTCATCCAGGAGGGACTCAGAGTACAGCCGCTGCTTCTTCATGTCAAGACGAGCCAGTTGAGGTGGCTTGGGCATCTGGTTAGGATGCCTCCTGGACGCCTCCCTGGTGAGGTGTTCCGGGCACGTCCCACCGGGAGGAGACCCAGAGGAAGACCCAGGACACGCTGGAGGGACTATGTTTCTCGACTGGCCTGGGAACGCCTCGGGATTCCCCCAGAGGAGCTGGACCAAATGGCTGGGGAGAGGGAAGTCTGGGTCTCCCTACTTGGGCTGCTACCCCCGCGACCCAACCCCAGATAAGCGGAAGAAAATGGATGGATGGAGATGGAGACCTCAAACTCCAGCCATGTACCATAAAAACAGGAACTCTGCTCAGTTTTTACCCCCCCCCCCCCCCTGTCTGATTTATTTGTCCGTGTGGACCTTTTAATGCCACACTGTGAGCCTGTAAGGTTGAATTTCTTCTTCCTCTTTTCATTTCTGAATGTGAGACCATACCAGGCCCAGAATAGGAGCAGCTGAAGCCTCTTCACGCTGACGTTGCCCCGCTCACTTCCTGTGAAACTGACAGGCCGGGCCTTTGACGGTTTCTGGTTTGAGGTTTTCATTCTGTTGAGCGCCTCCATGCAGCCGGACCTGAGTCCTGCCTGTTTCTGCAGCCGTCCTCGTCCCGTCTGCAGCTTCTGTCTGGCCTCCGTCCAACATGGCTGCGTCTCTTCCTGAGTACTACCACAGTCCAATGACGAAGAGGGAGTGTGAGGAGCTGCTGGGGAACAAGAACAAGGATGGGGCGTACCTGATCCGGGAGAGCGAGAGCATCCAGGGAGCCCTGTGTCTCTGCGTCTAGTGAGTGAAGAAGGTTCTTATTATTTCTTTAAATACGAAAACTTTTAACAACAAAACACAAAACCTCCTCGCAAGTAGAGTTGATTTAGTTGCTGTCAATCCTTAAAGAATCAGATCAATTTAAGCTATTTTGCTGGAATTATAATTATGTTGTTTTTTTCATGTGTCTGTTAGCAAAATATCTCATAAACCACTGGATGGATTTTAATGAAACTCTCAGTAATTATCCAACAATTTTCAGTCAGGTCATCTGGAAAGTTTCTTTTTTTGCTGAAACGTTTCACCTTCCATCCAGAAGGCTTCATCAGTCAAGGAAACACACAACACAAAACTGATTCTTCCCCCAAACAGCTTACTCCAAAATGGAACAAACCAGTTATGTTGGTGCTAAGATGGTGTCTTTGGCACGCCCTCTCTTGTGCTGGCCCTCTTCCTCGTCGACAGTCATGTCAAACTGGTTCAAAACAAAAAATGGTGAGTCAGTGGGTCAGTCAGATGACCTGACTGAAAATTGTTGGATTGTATACCTGGATTATTGAGCGTGGACTTTTTTGGTCTCAGTAATTATCTGCAAGTCTTTAATGTTTAGAGACAACTGCATTCAAGATGGCCGCCACATTCAATCAAACCTAAAAAACACAAATGGGTTGATTTTACAGCGGTTGAGCTAAAATTCGGTTTGGTAGTAGCTGAGAGTCCTTCAAAACAAATATCTTGAGAGCTACGTATTGCACAAGATCTTTGCTTAAAAACTTCAACATTAACTGTTAGAATGAACGTTTTTACGCCTGCTAGTAAAATATCTTGTGAACCAGTGGATGGATTCTAATGGAATTAAAACACACTCAAGTGTCACTTGAGGATAAAAGTCTACAGCTGATTAGCATTTAAAGTCAAGCTGGTTTGAAGTGGCTGCCGCAGCTAATCTACATTAGCAACACAAAAATGACTGTCAGGTCGAGTGAGGCATTTGGAGTGGTAGTAGCTGAGAGTCCTCCTCAAAACACGCTGTAAGCACAAGATTACAAGTAGCGTTTCACACCATATTTCAGCTCAGTGTCTGTAAAACTGACAGAGTCGTCATAGCCATTTGTTTGGCTGGTGGCCATCTTGAATCCACTAAAAGGGGCACAAAGAGTGGAGAAAAGCAAAACGCTTCAGGAGAAAAACTATGATAATGGGGTTTTAATATTTTTTTTTTTTTTTATAACAAAGTTACAAAGAGCTTAACATGAAGTAACAAATCAAACAAGTTTAATCCAATAAAACAATGTCTGTTTTTAAAAAAACAGACATTTCCAAGCATCAGACTAGCAGTAAATGACCATGTTACAAAAAATTACCATATGTATGTATGTATGTATACTACTACAAACTGTTCATTAAAGATGAGCGATATATACATATATATAAATTGTAATAAAGGGTAGTTGTTGTAGTCTTTAAAGGTGTGCCGACGCCTCATCTTAAAGTTCCTTTTTGTGGTCATGGGAGTCTCTGCTGCGGTCAGTCGTTATCTCTGGTTTGTTCCGTGACGTTCGAGCTGTTCAGAGAAACAACAAAACAAGTTTTATTAAGCGACAAACTACCAGAAACAGACAGTGAATTGCTTAGAAAAGTTGTTGTGAAGCCTTAAACGCATCAGCATTGAATGACTCATCAATACTGGTCCGTTTTTTTAATTATTGTTTAAGTCATTCAAAGTGTTTCCTATTTCATGTTGAGGAACTTTATTCTGAAATTGTTCCATGACTTTGGACACGTTTTTTCACAGACTGGTGAACCTCTGCCCATCTTTACTTCTAAATGTCCCACTTTATATGCAGTCCTCTTACTGACTGGTTACCAATTAACCTAAGTAGTTACAAAATGCTCCTCCAGCTGCTGCTTCTTCAACTTTTACAGCCTTTTCTTGCACCTACAACAACCTTTTTTAGTTGTGCTACTGCCAAAGAATTTAAAATTACATTAAATGTTCCTTAAAAAAGTCTCAGTTTAAATTTTTGATATGTTCACTGTGTTTCGTTCAGAATAAATTATGGCTTTATAAACCACTGCATTCTGGTTTTATGGACATTTTTCACAGCTGTTTTAGAAGTAGGGTTGTAGTGGTGGAGTTTCTGAAATAACGGTGGACTTAGGGGTAAAATAAACACTGACTTTTGTCGTGATTCATTAATCGAGAAATAAAGAAACAAAGGGAACTAGAGAAACGTGATTTTCTGTGCAAATGCAGCGTGGATGATTATTGCTGAAGGATTTCAATTGAGTGCTCCTGAAGCAGCTGAAAACAGCTAAAAAGGTTTAATCACTAAAATGTTATTGCAAGTTGAAATTGAACAGTTTACGTTTGCTGAAAGCAAAAAAACAGCAGAAATGTGTAGAAAAAGATTAAATGGGCAGAGAGAACAGCTGAATAGATTACAAAACATTTAAAATTAACAAAAAAGAACTTGAAATGAGCAGAAAGAACCTGAAATTAGAAGCTGAAAAGGTAACAAAAAAAGCTAAAATTAGCAGCAAGAGGCTGAAAGGAACAAACAGTTAAAATTATTAAAAAGAAGGACAATAAGTGGAAATTAGTCAAAAAACAAATAATTGGAAAAGCTTAAAAAAAAACTAAAAAGCAAAGGCAGAAAAAGAGTAACTTGGCAGAAAGAAGCTAAGGAGCAAAAACATCCATCCATCCATTTTCTTTACCCGCTTATTCCATTTTGGGTCACGGGGGTCGCTGGTGCCCATGTCCAGCAGTCACTGTGCGAGGGGCGGGGTACACCCTGGACGGGTCGCAAGTCCATCACAGGGACACATAGAGACAAACGAGACAAACAACCATTCACTCTCTCACTCACACCTAGGGACAATTTAGAGTTACCAATCAGCCTAACATGCATGTTTTTGGACTGTGGGAGGAAACCGGAGTACCCGGAGAAAACCCACGCATGCACGGAGAGAACATGCAAACTCTACCCAGAAAGGCCCCTGGACCGGGGTTTGAACCAGGGACCTGCTTGCTGAGAGGCAGCAGCTCTACCAGTTGCGTCACCGTGCTGCCCGGAGAAAAAACAAAACAGATAAAATAAGCTAAATTGAACAAAAAGAAGCTGAACTAGAACAAAAGCTGAAAAGAGCGATAAAAGGTTGTAAACAGCTAAAGGGTTTGAAGGATCTGAATAGAGCTCCATTAATTTTCTATGAGAAAAACATGGCCGACAAAGTTAATTTATTCACAAAGTAAAAATGTCACAAATAACAAAAGTCAGAGCAGGAATGTCCTGACTGAGCCGAACATTTTGATACATGAATTGTCGAAATAGTGCACAAATTGCAGAACAGATGCTGAAAAATGTACTGAAGAAAAACGGATCCGTTGAGGACGATTCAGAAACATTCAAACAAGGAGAAAATAACAAATCTGTTTATTCTGATGCCGTATGGCAGGTTGCAGATCCAACAGAACTCAAACCGTCTGTAGGAGTTGTGACGCAAACCACACAGAGCATGGGGTTTTCATAACTATGGGACTTGTAATTCATGCAGACGAGCCAATCAGACTCTAGGAGGCTTTTGTGATCAGATCATGAACATCAGAGCCACACAACTCATGTGGCTCTCTGGTCCACCTTTACCCATTTATCCAGAACAGAAACCAGAACGTAAGGTCTCGTGATCCACTTGTCAAAATGAAACATTCTTATTTCCAACTAGTAGTCATAACGCTCTTCGATTCACACACCCATCAGTGTTTATATGGAAATTCACCAGATTATCTGAAGGACCTTCTTGCTCCATATTCATCCACCCCGGTCCCTACGATCACAGAACAGTCATCTCCTCCACCTGCCACGAACTAAATTAAGAACCATGGGAGATCGGGCATTCTGTGTGGCTGCCCCCCACCTCTGGAACTCCCTCCCTGAATATCTGAGAGCTCCACAATCATTGACTGACTTTAAAAAAGGCTTAAAGACTTTTTTTTTTAAGCAAGCCTATTCTGCCTCCACATGATTGTATCATTGATTTTAGTTGATTTTATCACAGATTTTAGTTGATTTTATCACAGATTTTAGTTGATTTTATCACAGATTTTAGTTGATTGTATCATTGATTTTAGTTGATTTTATCACAGATTTTAGTTGATTTTATCATTGATTTTAGTTGCACTCTGTAGCACTTTGAGATTTTTGTTAATGAAAAGTGCGTTACAAATTAAATTCATTATTATTATTATTATTATATATAATAATGTTCTTTATAGGTTGCACAAATATGTCAAACGTTCTTTGTAATCCAACGGTTCAGTCAGGTCATCTGGAAGGTTTCTTGGTCCTTTGCTGAGAGGTTTCATCCTTCATCCGAAGGACTTCTTCAGCCCGAGGAGTCACAAACAAACTGGAGTCCCATAAATACCACACTCCCATAGTGGGAAAAAAAAGCAGTTTGGTCTCCAGTTTGTTTGTGACTCCTCGAACTGAAGAAGTCTTTCGGATAAAGGTCGAAACGTCTCAGCAAGAAAAAAAAAAGAAAGAAACCGTCCCGATGACCTGACTGAACATTGTTGGATTTGTACCTGGATTATTCAGCATGAACTTTTGGTATTCTTTAGAATCAATGATAAAATATACTTTTTATTCACAGTGTGCATCAAAATGTAAAGATTTTTGTTTTCTTTCACCCAGTGTGTCTCGTTACTGCAAGACTGATGATTTTCTTCAAATCCAGAGTGCACACACCCAAACTCTCACTGGTTTCCATTGCAATTGAAATTTATTTTAAAAAAGATCTGTATCTTCTTCCCAAAACACATTAAATATATATTATAAAAAAATGCAACACATGATGAACAGACACTTCTGTCATGGACTTTTTTTCAATATGAATGTTTTCCCGAGGCTTACTTTCTGCTCTTCATTTCTGTCTTTAATAAAGAGTGCCGCCAACAAGTGACAGACGCAGGTGTGTGGTTACCATGGTGATCGTAAAATACCATTGACATCAACTTAAAGTTTATTCTGATCTTTTGTTTCACAGTTCATATATCAAAATGTCGGCCATTTTGTCAGCTTAGATTTTTACAAAATAAGAGTTCTAGATTCTTGTTGAGATTTGTTAACGTAAACATCTTGTTTTGTCTTTTCAGCAAACAGAGGGTGGTTTATACCTACAGGATTCTTCAGTCGCACGAAGGAAACTACACTCTCCTGGTAAAGACTCACAGAAACATTCAAACTGAGCACAATTTTATGTTTTTTAACTTATAAACTGGACTTTGTGGAACATGTTCATTTAATTATTCAAAAAGAATCAACAAAGTTTCATTTATTTAGTTAGAGGTAAATCATCTTGTCTATTCTGGCTTTTTGTGCACAGTTGTTAAAAATGGTAAAACATTGGTTCTAACTCTTTCAAGACAAACAGTAAAATAATTAAAATGACATTGCAATAATTTTTTTTTATACATATTTACTAGAGAACGATTGCAGTAGCAGTTTCAAACATTAGCAATATGTCAAAATATTGAATTTATTATTTTTAGTACAAAAGTTGTATAAAAGTTCATTTGGTCTAAAAAATAACTTTTAAAAACTAAGTGATCTGCAGTTTTTATGAGGAAATAATAAGAAATCAGGAAGGTTGTTTTTTCTTTATGATTTTGCAACATCATGTCAGTCAGAGTCAGAGAGAGTCAGAGATACTTTATTATCATTTGCACCTCATGTGGTACATGTGGTGGAGCGAAATTATGTACACAGGGTCCCAGTTACATCTGACAATAAAATGTAAAAGAAAAACAATGATACCATATGTCTTCACAGGAACAAAATTCATAATATTTATATGTAAAACACCTCTGTGAAAAAGTCTAATAATAAAATCCCTCCAGACTAAAGATAAGAGCTTGAATTTCTAGGAGGCGGTTTCTTTTATAAAACATTTATTTTTGCGTTTTACCATTTATAATCAACTAAATGTGGCTAATAAATGAATAGTTGATAATAAAAAAATATTAAAATATAGAAAATCATGCAACAGATTAATAGATAAAACATACAAAATGAACAAATTAATAAAAAAATTTAATGTTTAATTAAACAAAACCATTTTAATTGCAGCCTACATTAATATGACCAGAATAAATCAGTTTAATTGGTCATCATGACCTGTTTAAATATTTCTTAAAAGAAGTCATTGATACTAAAAAACATTTCTTAAACCGTTAGATTTCCAACGAGTAAAAAAGTAGCAACATAAAACAGTGAGTCATCGGCGTATAATGAAACTCTGCTGGGTGAAACTCCCCCTCAGACAACTCCACATTTATTAAACAAAATATTTATTGCACTAAACTTTTTTTATTTTATAACTGAGGCAAACTGGCAGCCAGGCATTCTTTATTTAAATACATACTCCCACTAATGTTTGGTAAAACGTTTAGTTCTGTGCGTTTCACCTCAACCGTAGGCTTTTTATAGCCATGTTGACTGTGTGATGCTTTTAGTAACCTGTTTTGTACATGGTTAGCAAAACTGTAGTCTAGGCTGCGCACATTGTTTGTTGCCCATCTCAGCTGTTTTTGGCAGTTGTTACCCATTTTATGTGTATATGTTAGACCTGGACACTCGGTTCCGTACGTAGCCTTGCATGTTTTCTGTCATAAAGAGCGGGGTTAGTTGTCAAAATACACGTCTAGAATTACATAAAACTGAACTGGGATGAGTTATGAGAGGCCCTAAGACTTCTATAGTGACAGATACTCTGATGTTCTGGTGGTTTCCTGAGTCATGGTTCTTGTCTAAACCAGGTTCCTTACATGTGAACGGAACAGTTCCTCTTTCAGCCCTTGTCAAACTAGATGCATTTGTTTGAAATGATTATCTTGGAATCCCAAGAAAGTTCAATCAAGTCATCTGGACAGTCTCTTTTTGTTGTTGAGACGTTTCATCCTTCATCCAAAGGACTTCATCTGTCCGAGGAACCACAACAAACTCGAGTTTGAGTTGAGCTGATGCCTTTGGATGAAGGACGAAACGTCTCAATAAAAATTGAAACCGTCCAGATGACCTGACTGAACTTTGTTGTATTTTTTACCTGGATTATTGAGCATGAACTTTGATTATCTTGGAATATAAAGTTATTTAGAATTTGCTTCAAAGGCTTTTCCAGACTTTTGTAAATCCACGGTTCTTCTCCTCTTTACTCAGTTTCTTGAACTTATTTTAAGTATCTGTCAATGCAATTATAAATTTCCAGCTTTAGTTATTCATGCTCACTAACTGGAAATAAGACATGTCAAGCTAAAAAGACAATATACAACTTTGGCAACATAACATTTTAAAGAAATATCTCATTTGTTTCATCGCTGAGTTGTGATTGAGTCATTCACACTGACACGTCTCTGAAAAACAAATGTTTCTCCCCTCAGAGTGGAAACTCACCCTCATAGCAAAGGAAAATATTATACTTGTTTAAGAAAGGCTCCACACTGATGCAATGACAACAGTTTTCCACCCCACTCAGAGCTTGATGTTAATAAAAACTGAAGAGTTAATTAGACAGATTTAAGCCTTCCCACACTTTTAGGTTGTTTGGTATTGATATTAAATGTCAGGAAGGTCAGTCGGGTTATCAGATGGCTGGAAACTAAATTGTTTTGATGAAATTTAATGATAAATCAATCTTCCAATTGCAATAGACCTCATTAAAGACCATTTATTTACACATCTCACAGAACAGTTTTCTCTTTTTTAGCTATTTTTTTTTTTGTGTGTGTGTGGTTATAGTTAAATACAAATTTTTGAATTTCAACTAGTTTGGATATTCTTTCAGTGACTTGATGGATGTTTCCAATTTTCAATAGAGCTGTACTTTTTTTTGGCTTTGGGAATCATTAATGAGAATTTGTTTTTATTTTTTTACAGTATACATTAAAAAAAACAAGTAACACATTCAAATTTTACATAATTTTGTCTCGAAATAAACCAACTATAAAGAAAACTCCCCAACAGTATTAAAAGTTACACACATTTAGTTTATTTCTGCGCATCTTTTAAAAATACTTTTATTCTGTTTTGTCTTCAGACAGCTGCAGGTTTACAGGAGACATATTTTAAGACTTTGGAGGATTTAATTTTGAATTACAAGAGGAAGAACCAGGGTTTGGTTTGTCATTTGCGTCACGCTGTCAAAAAGAAGATGCCCTGGTTGATTCAACCCCCTCCCATACCAGAAAGATCCACCAAGCCAAGAATATCACCCAGAGTGTCACCAGGAGTATCACCAGGAGTATCATCAGGTGTATCATCAAGTGTATCTTCTAGAGTATCATCAGGCGTATCATCCAGAGTATCGGCAGGGATATCATCCAAAACATCACCTGTAGTGCTGCCGGGAGCATCACCAGGATTTTCCTCTAGAGCATCACCAGGTGTATCATCTAGAGTATCTAGAATATCGGCAGGGATACCATCCAAAGAATCACCTGTAGTATTCCCAGGAGTATCAGCAAGGGTATCACCAGACTGCAAGTCTCAAAGAAGACACAATCTTTTATATGGAGAGGACCAAGACTATGAGAGTAAGTTGCACACTACATTTGCCCTCACAGCCTCTTCATTTGTTTGTGACTCATTCCGTCCTTCTTGTGTTTCCCTTCAGACGATCCTTCTGATTACGTGGAGGTCCTTGCTGATGATCTATGACTTTAAAGCTCCTGGAGGAACCAGGGGAGGATAAATTGAGACTGATTTGTGTTTAGAATGCTTGAACTGCTGAAAACAGAGAGGTGATGGTATTTTTGCCGGTGTCTGTTAGTCAAATATCTCCACTGGTTGAATTTTAATGAAACTTTCAGGCTTTAATCAATGGATGTACATCTACATTTAAAAACCAACAACTCAGGTTCATCTCTTGAGTTTCTATTCCTGAATGATTCATAAGTCAGATTTAGGTTAGGTGAAAACACTGAAAATGTTTTGATACAAGGACTGAAATGGAAAAAGAAAAGCTGCCAAAATCCCAAGAAAAACTTTGAAAGAACCTTCAGAACGTCTGGAGATCTCTTCAACAACACCACTTTCAAAAATGGCAGAAAAGTCTGACTCAGGGCTTAATTTGAAACCCAATCAATGCCGGAAAGCAAACAATGGGCGGGCTTGCTGAGTGGTGGGGAGTGGAGGCAGAGGACCCAGAAATTTTTTAATAAAGTAAATGTGATTTCCTGCATTTTGGTGTATTTTAACAAGTTGTTAAACATCTACGTTTACCTACATTTGTAAACAATCCACTTCTGTCAAGCATCCTATCCCCCCACCCCTTACTTGATAGTTCTGAGCCGACTCTTCTCCGCTGAATTCACTGTCCGACTCCACGTGTGAAACCTCCAGGCCCCTCCTCCGTCTGTTCGTTGCTGCTGCCTGTGCGCTCCTGCCTGCATACAGCTGCCTGGTTAGTTCATTCGACACCCACCCCCACCACTCTTTTTTTAGTGGCTGAGATTTTTTCAAGGGTAGAGGCGGAAATGCTACTTGAAGAGGCAGATCGTATGTGATATAGAAGTTGTAAGTGGCTGTTGTGTTTAAAATTAGTGTTTATGTAACATATCCAGTGTGAGTTTTATTCGTTCAAGGCAGTCATATTTGTTCATAACTTTATTATTAGTAAACCTGAGCGTTACCGGATCCAAGCAAACAGTTACCGGAACACACCCTGTCAAAATAATAGAGTTCCCAGATCCTGTTCTGGCAGGATCCAGCTCAAATTAAGCACTGGTCTTACTGCTTGAAGGACCATCTACAGAAACTTGGACTGTATCGGGGTTTTAACGAAGCGGTGGACCGACACCAGACAGCAGCTCTTTGAGTTGGTGTATTTATGGCAATAACAAGAAACCACAGCAAAGGCCTCACAGAGCACAACACCACCCACTCATTATTCCATGCGGTAGACTATTACAACGTCACACTTCGAGGTTTATTGGGGCCATCTAAAGGCCTGAATGAACACAGTTTGTTTTCTTTCGTTGGAAGAGTTTTAACGCACCAATGGATTCAATTTTGTCCAGTCAAGTAGCAGCTGACACACTCCTAAAGCAGTGGTCCAAGTAAAATTCATCAGGTCAGCCTAAACTTCCTTTTTTAACGACAGCCATGCCAATTTTCTTCACTCATCACATGGTTTATTCAGGCTTCTACTTTGACTGCAAGGAGGCTTTTTTTACACCTCGAAGGAAGCAGAAAGAAACCGCAGAACAGACTTAAAAATTACCATAAATGTTAGACAAGCTGCGCCTCACTGTAGAAAAGATGTGGCACATAAAATGCACAGTATTACCGTAAATGCAGCAAAAGCTGTGCCGTTTAAAATTATTATTATAAAGTTTATTCATTTTTTTTTAACAAAACAAAGCAATTCTATACACAATAAAAAATACAATCACAAATAAAATGAAAGGCAGCAGAAAGAAGAAAAAAATCTTATAATAGATGCCCCTTTTTTTCCCAAAAATTTATTCAAACAATAATAATCTTCAAAAAACAAAAACAAAATAAATAACTCCTCTAGCAACAATTCATACAAATACGCATTAAGCTATTTCATATTTCTTTAACAAATCAACTTTGATCATTCTCTTAAACATATACATTGATCTGGCATTTTTAACATCACTCTCCAGATTATTCCATAATCTAATTCCTTGGATTGAGGTAGACCGTCCCTTCAAACTAGTTTGAAATTTAGTACTTGATGGGTGACTGAAATGCTTCCTGGTAATAATTCTTACAGCTCTTTTCTGTAAAACAAAAACAGAATTTGTAATTGTTTTTTGCCAGCTTTCCCCCAAACGTCAGTACAATAAATGTGGAACAATTATTGTGTTATACAACATATACAGAGCTTTATCATTTAATACCTCCCTTACGTTGTACAGTACTGCAATAGATGTAGCTATTTTTATTCTTACATCATTTATGTTGTAGTGAGATAGGTCGGTTAGCTTCGTTTAGCTTCGGAGCTCCACTACACGTTATAATATCTGGACTAGTTCAAGTACCTGATATTATACTTAATTTAAACGGATTCTCTCTTTTTCGAGCTACTTGACAGATATGTGACAGAGATACTGTGTGGGAGATGGTTTAATCAGTGACGTGAGACGTTAATTTTCTTTGACCCATCAAAATGAATGTGGTCATTTATTAACAGAATCAAAATTTAACATCAAACATTGTACACGTGATTATTCTGATTGTACGCAATAACACAGCTTAGATAGAAGAGTTTTAAAGATGGGAAATGAGGGAGTTTAAATGGAGAGAAAAGGATGAGGGAAAAGTGGGTTGATAACGAACGGCACCCTCCATCCGAACCCAGCTCCACCTCGGTACACTTAGGTAGTGAGGGACTCGTTACCTTGTAGAAGATGTCTCCACTGGTACGGAGTTCCATTTAACGCTACCTTTCCAGCGTCTCCGTAGGAACAGCTGCGAATCGTCCGAAGTAGTGACGGTACTTCGTTCAACACCACGCTCACCTCTCAGGTGGACTCACATGAGCTGTGAGCCCGTCAGAGGTTCCACTCAGATGTGGAAGATTCCATAATCCCCACGAGACTCGGAACTTTGTTCTTCCTTCTGGAACTTTGTTCTGCGTAGTTCCCGTTGTTCTGCATTCTGCTTGGAACTAGGAAGTGTTGACCCTTTTAAAGAGGTCACTTCCGGTTCCTCTGAAAACTTCCTGATTGGTTGAAACGAACCAACAGGGGTGTGGTTTTAGTGATGTAAGAGGGTCATTAAAAGTCAAGGAGAAAGCGTAGATGTTTAAGAACAGATAGAAAAATGTTTTGAAGAACAGAGACTTTTTGGTGCCAGTCCTCTTCTATCTATCTGAAAAAGTTAAACATGACATTTCGTTCCAATAAACATGTTTTTGACCGAAACTTGACTTCTGACCCACATCACGACTTGCTCATTTCAGACAGAAGATCAAAAAATGCATAATTACTCTTGTAACAAACATTAGCTTGATTTCTACTTTGAATGAGGATTAAAAATCATTTATACTGTTTCACAGTTGATTTAAAATGAGTAGTTCACTTCAACATTTAAAATGGTTTGAACTAAACACACTTTTGATTATCAAGATATTGTAAAATAGTAATGATAATAAAAAAGAGAGTGTTCTTTCAATTGATCAGTGCAGGATACAATTAGAAAGTCTCTGGATGAACTTAATTTTGTGTTTCTGGACTCAAATCAATGAAATAACAGTTCTTGTCCCAGGAAGGCCCTCAGGGCCAGATTTTGACCTGAGGCTTAGTTCACTACAATGTAATGTTTCCATGTCAGCTTTTCATCAATAACACCCAAAAACTTCACCTCACTAACTCCACAAAACTCAACACCCTCGACTCTAAATGTGACATTAACAGTTCTCTTTCTGTTACTGAATACAACATAGTTTTATCTAAGTTTAATGATAATTTATTAAATTTAAACCAATTTTGTATTTTTACAAATTCTGTCTGCATCAACTCCAACATTCATTCTATGTCTTTACCCAAACCAAAAAATGTGGTATCATCTGCAAATAGAACACATTTAAGGAGTCCTGACACATTTACCAAGTCATTTACATATAAAATAAATAACTTTGATCCAAATACAGAACCTTGAGGAACTCCACATGTGTTATTACAGAGGTCAGATTTTCCATCATTTATTTGTAGAAGCTGTTTCCTATCTTTCAAATAGCTAGATACCCACTGTAGTGCTAGTCCTCTAATGCCATATTTATTCAAGTTTTCAAGGAGAACAATGTGGTCAATAATATCGAATGCTTTCTTTAAATGAACAAAAATACTAACACAATAATGTTTTTGATCGACACCAGTTGTTATTTGTTCTATCAATTCCATGAGACCCATTGTTTTTTGCTCTAAACCCATACTGACTGCTACTTAGAATATTTTGATTAGCAAAAAATTGATCTAATCTGGTCACAAATAATTTTTCTAACATTTTTGAAAACTGTGTCAACAAGGATAATGGTCTACAATTATTGAACACACATGACTGCTAATGACGCCTTAAATGAATTACCATAAAATATCCTGATGCATGCCGGGCTTGCCATATAAACTGTAGATAAGCTCTACTGCCTAAAATAAATGACTGTAAATGCAGGAAAAGCTATGCCTATTAAAACAAATAAATATAAATGGCTCAGTCTAAAATTTATGAATAGTGCAAACGGAACCACATTAAATAATTTACTATAAACTGTAGAAAAGCTGTGTTGCCTATGATATGGTAAAACATTCACAAACAATTATACGTCTTTTGACTTCAGTCTGTCATTTATGGACTCCCATCCTAGAACGTTTTTCTTCTTTTAAATATTCATACATACAGTATTAATTAACTGCTGCTTTGCATACGATCAGGAAAGAATAAGTGCTATTTATTTCTATGTAGGGGGCAGGATTTTGTGTTGATATTTTGTTTTTTGAAGCAGCTCTCAAACCAAAGAGTCCTTAAAAAGTGCTAAAATCCTAAATTTGTTTTCCCAAACTTACTCATCTTAAAACAGGTGAACTTGTTTTTAAAACTTCACCTGTCCAGAGACACGATGAGCTCTGATCTGAAGAGGTGAATGCTGTTAAAGTGTTAAACCAACATCCAGTTGCACACCTTCTCCCTGCAGTCTGGCTGCAGAAAACTCAGGTTCATGAACTTTATCTTCAGTAGAAATGATAAAATACAACATGTCAGCTTATACTTGGGTGCTAAAAAAGATCACAAAAATAGCTTTTTGGTGCAGATTTGCATGCAGAGTCATGATATTTTTCTGTTCTGGGGCAGTGTTTGTTAAACTGTTGTCCTTATTCACAGTAAATATGAGATTGCAATGCATTTTCTTTAAATAAATATTGTATATTTTTTTGTTTGTTACATCTAAATAAAGTGTTGTTTTGCAGACGTGAACAGAGATGTTTGTGTTGCTCAACAACTTTAAATGTGTCTGCGACTAAATGCACAGAGCACAACCACACATCCTGTTTGGGGTCCAGTTGTTTATTTGTCATATGCAGGTTAACACAAAGTCAACAATGCAATGTCGTTCAGGATGAAGAGAATGGATTAGACTCACTACAAAAAAACAAACTAACAATAAACAGAACAAAACAAGAAATACTAAAGCATGTAATAAGGCTACAAAAAGTGAAAAAGAAATATAATATTTACAAGGTCCAAAAGAAACAGCAAACAACAACATGGTAGAATATAATGGTGCAAGTAGGATGAATTCTCATGAATAAGTATTTCATATGTAGTAATTTTAACTTAAATGCACATGGTTGTGTGACAGGTTATTACACAGGTAGTGAGTAACATTGAGATTAATTTAATTATGATGGTAAGGTAGTGACATACATGATATATAGCATATGTGATATACATGATATATGACATAAATGGCACAAGATATGACATACATGACATTGTGTACAGTGACTATAGTGTTACTTTTTATTTGTCTTAAAAAATGACAAATGATCTAATCTAGTATTAGAGCCAGTATTATGTTAGTTTTAAAGTAGAATGTAAAGCTTCACCTCCTAAGACCCGAACTCTTGCATGACATGCATTAATTCATAATGTCCACATATGTGGATGCCAGGTCCTAGGAGGTTAATGTTGAAAATATTTTCACCTAGATAAACAACACAACAGCTTTGTTATCTTAATACATTCTAATAGGATTTCAGACTAAATATTATAAATCATTACATTAGTCAGTGGGATGATTATCATTTATTTAATTAATTTAATTTAATTTGATTTGATTGGATTTTTATTTATTTTATTTTGAAAGAGCACCCGGATTTATTTGACACGCCTTTTCCCGTCACGTGTTTTTGAGGCCACTCTGGGTTTTTGAACTTGCAGTGAATAGAGGGGTGTTTAGATGTAGCCTTATTTATTTTTTCAAAAAATAAAAACTTTTAACGTAATTTCATGTAGTAATTTTTTAAAATTTTATAGTATAACAGTACTTAATATTTTTACAAGCAAAATGAAACAATATGATTTGTATAAAAAGAACTTGAATTTTATGTTACCCCTTTTTTGAGTAGCTGATTCGTTCCTCCTCAGTTCGAGCTCGAAGCGGGAGGACGTTACTGTGTTCAATCTGTTGACGTTTTGTAGGACGGAAAAACAATAAAACAAGGCAAGTATACAGCAACAAACATGCACACAAATGTCCAATGTGGTGTGGTTATGTCAAACACAGAATCAGTCATTAATATTTCCTACTCTACTTAAAAATAATAATAATCTGCTCCTCTGTGTTTTTAAACTGTAAGCTAATTTACCGGCTAGCTTATTGTTATCCTGAAAAGTTCATAACGGACGCTTATGCCAATGTCAGTTTTGGTATTTTCAGTGCAAAGTAAAGTTCGTTTTCATTTTATTTTTACAGGATGGACTTAACGACGTGTTTGAAGTCGCTGTTGCTGACGATCCATCAGTACCGAGACAGCAGAACCGCTCAACACGCATCGCAGCTTCAGAAACAGCTGGAGGTAGGCTAACTTTGCTAGCTGTCAAAACAACAGGAGTCTTTTTGGTGTCTTTATTTATACAAACCATGAAGCTGTTTTAAACTGATGACATGAGCTTTTATGGGTGATTCCATCTTTGGATGTGGCGTATAAATAATCTCTTAATCTCAGGCTACCAATTTTGAGACCCACTAGATTAATTGTCTTTTTTTTTTTTGTCCTGATGTAACATGTTAGAGATTAATGTAATAAACTAAGCATCTACATTTTTAAGTATTAGTTTAAATACTCTCAGTTAGGCTGTCAGACATGACTAATGTGCTACCGCTGGATGTCTGCAGGAGGTTTCAGGTTTGAAGTGTGACCACCTCCTGTCCTCGGGTCAGGTTCTGCCCAGCGAGTGTGTGAGTGGGCTGGTGGAGCTGACAGGAAACCCAAACACCAGCCCTGTTCTGATTGGCTCCATCATCTCCCTGCTGGCACAGTTAGGTAACGTTTTCACTCAACAGATGAATTATGACTTAAATTAAATCAGGATCTGTTGGCGCTTACTGAACTTAACCTCACCTGCACCTTGTCTCGTCCAGCGAGCGATGATACCGGTCGGGAGATTCTTCACAGCAGCTACAACCTCACCAGCACCTTGGCTTCTGTCATCCACTGCCACAGCAGCACACCTGGAGAACCCCTGGTGATACAGGTACGTACGGTCATACGCCCTTCCTGACACAATCCTAACCATTTACTGGGCTTGGAACTGGCACAAGCGATATACTGGCTTGTGCTCTCTAGTGGCTGGTTTGTTTGCAAATTAACAAACAACATAAAGTCAAGCTTACCTGAACAGAATTAAAGCAGAAATGTGGAAATAAGTCAGAAATCCTCAGATACGACCTGTCCAGGACCAGAGTAGTTAGTTCAACACTAATTTGTGAGTGAATGTCTTTAAAAACAATCTTGATTTGTTTGTTTTAAACTCAGTAACTGGTATGAGGTTGTTTCTGTCTTTCAGTGCTTACAGGTGCTTCAGAAGCTGACGTACAACACTCGCACCTTCCAGTCCACAAACTACATCAATGAGCTCATCGGTTTCCTCATGACCAGCATGTGAGAGCCAGAGTGTCTTCTAAAATCTGAGGGGCTAATCAGCTGTTTGTTAACGTTTCTCCCTCCGTGTTTCACTGCAGTCAGTCTCAGAGCGAGGACGTCGTCCTGCCATGCCTCGGTGTCATGGCCAACCTTTGTCGAGAAAACCCCTCAGTGCAGAGTCACATCAAGTCTCTGGTGAGTTCTTCTCACACGTTTGATGACCGCGATGAAAATCTGATTAACGGGAATGAACACAAACGGGAAGCTGTTTTATATATTTTTATTTTATTTGTATCATCTTTGATGGGGAGTGGTGGTGCAGAGGTTAGAGAAGGTGGGCCTGTGATCGAAAGCTCGCCGGTTCAACTCCTGGTACAGACAACATCAAAAATGTGGGTGGGAAAGGTGAAGCACCCACACTTTCCTCCACTCTCATTTGCCCCACTCTAGGCCCTTGAGCAAGGCCCTTAACCCCCACCATCTGCTCCTCCGGGTGTCCTAGATAGCAGCTCTCTGTTCCACACAAAGGGCTGTGGTAGCTCGGTGGTCTGTGGTTGTGTCAGGAAGGGCACCCGGCGTAAAAATTGCCAAGTCTTCGTGTGATTTCGCTGTGGTGACCCCTGAAGAAGAGAGCAGCTGAAAGAAGAAAAAACTTGCATCAAAGAAGAGTCTAGCAGTCTAAGATTATCTCTGAAAATGTCTGCCCCACTTTAAATCATTTTTGTGGCAGCGGTTTAAACAAATATCTCAGGCACTAGGACCGTGCGGCACATCAGTCAAGCCTTATTGAGCAACCTCTGCAGCTACGTGCTGAGAGGAAGAGTCTCTATTATGAAGCTGAGAAAATAAAGTTTGAACCTCTCATAGAATTGAAAGGAAAAGATAAGTGTATATAAGTCGCAGGACTGACAAATTATGCAAAAAACTGCGACTTATACACAGGAAAATACGGTATATACAGCACGACAGCTCAGTGGTTAGCACTGTTGCCTCACAGCAAGAATGTCCTGGGTTCAATCCCCGGTTGGACCTGGGGTCTTTCTGTGTGGAGTTTGCATGTTCTTCTCGTGCTGGCGTGGGTTTTCTCCGGGTACTCCGGTTTCCTCCCACAGACCAAAAACATGCATGTTGTGCATCTGTGATCTCAATGGGATTTGCCTGGTTAAATAAAGGTTAATAAATAAATATAATTTTATTTTTTCAATAAATATATATAGCTTTGATAAGAAGTCAGAAGCTCATGCATCATTGAAGAACCGTTCTGTAAAATTAAAGAACCGTTCTGTAAAGTTAAAGAACCGTTCTAATGTCTGAAGAGGAGCCGACGAGTGAGACCAGTCAGCTGAGTTTGTTGCAGAACCTTTTTGAAAAATATATATTGTTAAACTCTCATCCTGACACGACTCTGTACTGTTGGACTCATCTGTTGTGGCGTGCTGGTGCTTATAGGACAACGTGAAGCAGTTCTACCGGACCCTGATCAACTTCCTGGCCCACAACAGCCTGACGGTGGTGGTCTTCACGCTGTCCATTCTGGCCAGTCTCACGCTGAACGAGACGGTGGGCGACAAGGTAAGAACACTCGTTCCAAGCCAGACATCGTCGTTAACACCAAGCTCACGTTGAGCGCAGATTTCACATCCAAAAGGGTTTAAGTTCTGAAACGTTCTCCGATTTTTAAACTTCTTATCAAAATATAAACTCTTGAGCGCTCAGGAATATTTAAAGTTCCTGCAGCTCATATTTGTTTTATTCAAATTCACGTGTTGTTTGAAAATAAATGTGTTTGACGCATGTTTCAAGGAAAATGTCTTCATTTTCAGACGTGAGTTTACATTATCTCTCTTCTGTTTTTTTTTTCTTTTGGTTTTCTTTTTTAATGTGTAAATAAAACTTTGGTTGTTGACGCTGCGTCTCATTTCTCCGTACGTGCGTCTTTTTTTATTTTTAGCTCTTCGACTCAAAGAACATCCACCAGACGTTCCAGCTTGTGTTCAACATCATCGTGAACGGCGACGGCACGCTGACTAGAAAATACTCCGTCGACCTTCTGGTCGATCTGTTGAAAAGCCCCAAAATTGCAGATTACCTCACGAGGTTACACGAACACACACCTGGCACAAACCTTCGGCGTTTCCCTCAAACTGTTTATTCTAAAGCTACGTTTTTATTTCCAGGTATGAGCACTTCTCTGCGTGTGTGTCTCAGGTTTTAGGGCTGCTGCGTTCCAAAGACCCGGACTCTGCAGCCAAGGTGAGATTAAAAACAACAACCACAAACTGCCTTTCATGTTTTTATGTCTGCGCAAACATCCACAGAAAGAAAGTTGTTTCTAAAAAAATACAACAGAAGTGAAGTATTAAGTAGTTGACAACGCTGAGCAAAGACAGGAAATGGTTTGTGGTGTGAAAAAAAAAAAAAAGCTGCGGTCTCAGTTTATATCTGACCTGAGACACAAGTTAATCTCGCTGCTCGACACTCGTTTTTTTTTTTGCTTCCAAGCAGCCAGACTAATCTGTAATCTGAAGTGATCTGGATGAATGAATGAAGCTTTACTGTGTTTGTCACAACCACAACAAAACTGCAGAGCCTCTCCAAGGTGCTTGTTTTAGTCCCGAGTCAGGGTTTCTTGTCATGGAACGAGATTGTGTACACAGGGTCCCAGTTACATCCCACAATAAAATGTAAAAGAAAAACAGTGATAAGATCTAAGATATGACCTAAGAGAAACATCAACTAAAAATACGCTAAGCACTAACGGCATAAAAACATCACACCGAACAGCAGCACGAACACAAGTCTGTGTGAGCAGCAAACTTAGTGCACATGCATTTAATTTAGAAAAGATTCAAACTTAAATAGATTAAAAAAATAATAAATATAGCCCATGACTCAGTGTGGACTTGTGAGATGTGTGTGGTTGTGAGTGCGTCAGTGCATGTGCGTCGTCTTGAAAGAAACTGGTGTTCTTTGTGTTCTCAGGTTCTGGAGCTCCTGCTGGCCATGTGCAGCGTCTCAGGTCTGCGCTCGCTGCTCTGCGACGTGGTCTTCAGACCTGCCGGACCCAGACTTAGAGCCGCAGGCCGTAGGCAAGGTCCAGGACCGGATGGGGGGCTGGTTCTGGTGCAGTGGCTCAGCTCGCCCGTGGAGGGCGCCGAAACGTGCTCGATCAGAACCCTGCAGCTGCTGCACGAGCTGCTGGAGGTGAGATTTTATTATTCAGATTTCTGGAAGTTAATGTGTATATTTTAATTATTTTGAACCTGAACAAAAGGAGAAAAGAGCAGAAAACAAAAAGCGGATGAGTCGAGGACAGAAACTCTAAATATAGTTTGTTTTGTGAACGGAAAACGTCTCAAAACCAGATTTGCTGCAAAATGCAACATTTGATACTTTGTCCTTAAAGCTAAAAGGCGCATTATGTTGAATAAAACAGGAACTATTTGTTTTATATGGTGCTTTTGTAAGGACTATTTCGGTTAGAGTCATAAAAAAAAAAATCAAGTTTCTGCAGATTATCTGGGTCCAGGTTCAGTCAAACTTTCTTCTTGGATTATTTTTCTGTGCTCTCAGCTCAAACGTTATCAGCTTAAATAGCTTAAATAATTTAGGTTTAATTTGTTGTAACGTTTGCAGATGTTAGTGACCACTGCTCTCTGAACATGTGAGACAAACAAGTTTTAAACTAAATAAACACAACACTTTTTCTTCCTTCGTTTAGTGACAGTTAAGCTGTTTTCTTTTAATCTGGGTTATTTTCTCGGGCTTTTATCGTCTGAAGGCTTCGTTCTCGCCGAGCAGAAGGAAATTACAGTAAAGTCTATAAAAGCTGCTTCGTTTAAAATGAAAGGCTGTATACGTGATAATACATGAAGATTATTATTGATTGAATTAATTGTTTGGAAAAAAGGGGGCAGATATAATAAAAAATTTTCTTCTTTCTGCCTTTCATTTTTATTTTTGATTGTATTTCTTGTTGTTTTGTTTTTTAAAAAATGAATACATTTTATAAATAAATAAATACATGTGCAGGTTAAAAAGGCCCAACATTTAAAGACATTCAGAGCACTCTGACCACTTCTTGTAAAAAAAAAAAAATCTTTTAAACTTTACAGAAAAATGCGTCTTCAGTTCTGCTTCCCACCAGTAAAACCAACGTCTGGACAGAAATGATCACCCCGGCTGTTCTCACAGGAACAGAACAAAAGTTGTTTTCTGTTTCATTTCAACTGTTTGATAGAAAAACGTCACGACAAATAAACAAAATCTGACTAGTGGAAGCAGATAAAATGCACACTTATTGGATTTGGAGCTAATATTCACCACGATGTGATGGCAGCAAAGTTTAAACAGTCTGTGAGGATAAAATGACCTTTAGTCTGTGCTGCTGGTGACCTCAGAGCACACAGATCCTACCTAAAATACTTCCTTACGTCGTTTAAACAGACCTGGAGCCTGACTCTGACACTTGTTCTTGCCCTGTCGTGTCTTTCTGTCCACGCAGGAGTCGATGGGAGCAGAGAACGTGTCTGAATCCACGTTGAGCTTCGTAGAAAGGCTGCTTCCAGTCCTGCTGGGGCTGCTGAAGGGCCTCGATCTGGCTAAAGGAGACGCTCACCTCAGGAGACACTGCCAGCGCATCACACACGTCTCCAGCCTGCTGCTTCATATCCTCCACAGAACTCCGTCTGTACGCTCTTTAGGCTCGGTTGTGCTGAACTCGCATATATGATGCTCCTCTATGACGACCTAACGAAGGGTCTGTGACAAGATTTTGTTAAAACGTGGCAGAATGACAGCCCAGCACCTCCCTTTTATGTCTTTTAAGTTATTTTCTGTACAGATTATTTTAGGTTGCACATTTTTTTGTGGACTCTGAGTCCTTTGAAATCCTAAACTCACAAACTGCTGTAGAAACGATGACCTTTGAACTCCATCATTATAGATCAAATGTCCCTGCCTTCCCTCGTTGTATCTCCAGCTTTGAATCGTTTTTTCGCCGAGTGTTGAGTTTTTACAACCGAGCATGTTGTGAGACGAACTCGACAAAACTGCACAACTTTGGCCGCGCAGATTATTTTGTTGCACACGTTGAAGACCCAAACTCTCCGGCCTGCCATGAGTTAGCCATCAGCAGTCCAGCGACAGTCTCCAGACTTTTCAGGTTCCTCGGCTCTTGAATTTCAAACTTTTGCGCTCGTTTTCGGGCAACGTCGAGTCGTCGTCAGCTGGTCTCCAACAAGACCATCGAGACTGCACGCAGTCTACTGGTTTTCTTTAACCCCTTCACTCCTGTGCAGTGAGGACTCCACCAGGTCCTTGGTGTCCTCTCAGGTGAGCGCTCAGCTCTGCCTCTCCCAGGTAGAGGCTCTGCTCTCCTGTTGTCATAGCAACAGCCCCACCTCCTGCCTGTCTCCAGGCTCCGACAACAAGCTCAGGTGAGTGAGACGAAGATGACGCCATAACGCGATGTTTGGGTCACACCAACTGGTTCTTGTGCTTTTTGCTGCAGTCAGGTGTGTTCTGAAGCTCTGCTGAAGACTCTGGAGCTGATGAGCCGACTGAGACAGCAGGTGAAGGACATGGAGACGAGCTTCTACAGGCTGCTGCAGGTAGGCGCCGACAGACGTCACCTTTCGGCTCACGTCGGTTTTATTTGTGACCTGGACTTTGTTCTCTGGGTCCAGGACCAGAGGATCGTGACCCCGCTGTCTTTGGCTCTGACGTCCCACCACAGGGAGCGCGTGCAGACCGGGCTTGCCCTCCTGCTTGAGGCCACGCCTCTCCCAGACTTCCCGTCACTGGTGTGAGTCACTCGCAGGATACAGCAGCAAATATTAACATAAAACCAGAGAAAGCTTTTTCTCCTAAAATACTGACCGAATGCTAGGAGCTGAACTTTAGCTGAAAGGCTAAAACTGAGTAGTTAAAGCTAAAAGAAGCAGAACAATACCTAAAAACTGTAATAAGCATTTATAAGCCAAAAATAGCAAAACACTAACTAAAAGCTAAATGTAGCAAAAGACCAGTTTAAGGCAGTAAAGAGTTAGTTGGAAGCTAAAAGTAGCCGAATATTAGCTAAAAAATAGTAAGAGGCTTACAAAATTGTAAAACACTTGCTAAAAATAGTAAATGCAGCTGAATGTAGCAAAATGCTGGCTACAAGTTGCAATATTGCAGCAAAAAGCTACATTAGGAGTAGTGCTAACAAAAGGCACCTCAAGGCGAGGTACTAGCTAAAAGTAGCATAACAGTAGCTAAAAGTAGTAGGCGTCTAGTTAAAAAGAATAAAACACTTCCTAAAAGCAGCAATATGTTGGTTAAAAGCCAAAAATTGTAAAAGGCTAGCTAGAAGCTAACAGTAGTAAATGGCTAGCCGAAGGCATCAAAAGGCTAGTTAAAAGCAAAAAGTAGCAGAATGCTAGCAAGGAATCTAACGTAACGAGCATAGCTAAAACTAGTAAATTTCTAGCTGAAGCCAAACTTGCTAACAGTAGCAAAAAGGCTAGCTGGAAATTAAGAGCAGCAAAATGTTAGCTAAAAGCTAAAAACAGGAGAACAGTACCTAAAAGGTAAAAGTAGCAGAACAGTAGACTAAAGCTTAAAGCATATGAAGACAAACAGAACCAGCTTGTAGAGAGAAGAATGTGTTTCTGTGGGGGAATTAAAAAATAATAAAATAAACAAGTTACAACAACCAAAGTCCCAGCACCCATTTCCTGAGCGAGCTGAACGTGTTGATGTATGAACGACTAAAACAGCCAAAAGTCAGCAGAAGCAGATTATAAAGTCTTACAGATAAATCAAACCAGGTTTACAGGAACGTGGTTCAGGATCTGAGCTACTGCTAAATCGTTTTAATCGATCTTTGTTCTTTTAGTTTGGGAGAGAGCATCGCTGCCAACAACGCCTACCATCACAGGGAGGCGGAGCTGTCAATCAAGCGAGTGGCGGTGCAGGAAACCCTGCCTCTCAGAACGAACACCAGCGTCCTGGACTCCTCCAGGAGCGTCAGCTCTCTGGTTGAGAAGATCCAGACCGGACTGGAGGTTCGGGATGCACATGTAGACTTCTTTAATTCAGAAAATGTCTCTTAGCGTGAAAAATGTCGACATTAGAGCTGTTTCAATAGATTTTTTTAAAAGACAGGGCTGCACAGACTGTTGTACGTTTTGTTTGCAGCTGCAGGAGCAGATGAAGGACTCGCGTGTTTCTGAGATCATTGATGTTTACGAACAGAAGCTCGCTGCTTTTACTGTGAGCATCTTACATCCATCAAACAACCAAAGCTAACATAAAAAGATGCTAATTTTTACCTTTTGGTTATTGAATTTGCTCTAAAACCTAGAATCTAGAATGCTGTTGAGGTCTGTTTTGTGCTTCCTGGTCAGTCTAAAGAGAGCCGGCTTCAGGACCTGCTGGAGGCCAAGGCTCTGGCTCTTTCTCAGGCCGACCGACTCATCGCTCAGTACCGACTGCAGCGGGCTCAGGCCGAGGCTGAGGTAACGCAAACTTTACGTCCTGCAGGTGAAAACGTGTCACAAGATGATCAACGAGAACCTTCTTCTCGTTGCAGTTTAAACAGGTCTTTGTGCTTCTCTGTGCAGGCTCGGAAGCTGGCCTCGCTGCTGAAGGATGCCGAGCGGCGCCGGGAGGCACTGCAGGCCGAGCTGAGCAGCCAGGTTCTGGAGGTGGAGAGGTCCAGAGCGGACATGGAGGAGCTGCTGCAGCACAACACCCGGCTGCAGAAAGACTCCGAGGAACATCAGGCCCTGAAGGGAGCTTACAACGCCCTGCTCAGCAGGTCACAGGCTGCTAAATAAGACTCGATATTTATTAAACTGCTTTTATGACTAACTGAGGCTTTTTGTTCAGGTTGAATGAAACGGAGCGACTCCTCAAAGAGCTGCAGGCGGCTCACATCTCCCTCAGCAAACAGACCGACGCTCTGAGGAGGAGCCACGAGGCGCTGCAGCAGCAGCAGAACAAGTAAAAGACACGTGTCCCCGTCCTCTCTGCTCATGTCTGAAGTCAGCCGAGACGTTTCTGACCTGTTTCTCCCTCAGGACGGCCTCGGAGTTGGAGGACAGAGAACAGCAGGTCAAGTCGCTCCAGTCTGATGTACAGAAGAGAAACGGTGACATCACAGGTCAGCGGAGACGGGTTTTAAACCACAGAGCAGCTTGGATGGATTTTGTATTGTTTTCTTTTTAAGCAAGTTTCCAGAAACACCAGTTTTCCTCACGAAATGAGTCGTGAAGATTTAGAAACAAACTTTTCAGTTGCAGGCTGTAAAATAATCAACGATGACGTTAGAGAGGCTGTAAAACCAGAGCCCGAACAGTTCATTTCATTGTAGTTCTGTTCTTTTTGTGTTTTCCTGACAGGTCTGAACACTGAGCTGAGAGCCAGAGAGCAGCAGCTCAAGGACAAAGACCAGGAGAAGAAGGACCTGGAGGACACGGTGGACGCTTTGAGGAAGGAGCTCAACAAAACGGAACAAGCCCGGAAGGACGCCAGCATCAAGGTGGGGGAAAAAAGAAACTCATTCAGCGGCATTAGTAGCTCCTACGGTGGATCAGCGTTGAATTAAAAACTAAAAGCGTTTCTCGTGTCATAGGCGTCGTCTCTGGAGCTGCAGAGGTCTCAGCTGGAGACCAAACTGAAGCAGAAGGAGGAGGAGCTGAGCAAACACTCGGCCATGATCGCCATGATCCACAGCCTGAGCAGCGGCAAACTCAAGAGTGACGTCAACCTGTCGCTCTGAGGATGAGTCCCTCCCACACACAAAAAATAAATAAAAAATCAACTATTTATGCACCTAGAATGAAACTTTAAACTGTAATTAACCTCGTTGGACTCACCTTATGATTAAACTCTACTTTTAAAGTCATGAAATGTCTTAATGTTTTTTATTGTTTAGTAAATAAATGACTCACTGGATATATATGAAGGTGTAAACGTTTTATGTTTCGTCCAACATTTGTGTGTTCACAACCTCTAATTATATGAAAAAAGTGAGAAGAACTCTGAAAACAACTGAACAAATGTGGTGTCAATCCAATTCAAGATGTTTTTTATTTATTGTTTAGTTTTATTCACAGTTTGCAGAAAACTAGACGAGAGCTGCTACAGTCAGCTTTTTAAAAAATATAAATATTCACCTTAATTTTTTTGGTCAAAACTACAAAGAGCCACTGCAGAAGAACTAAAAGCCATTTTTCCCACTTGGATTTTCCACACGTGGTCAAACGAGGCAGATGAAACTTGTTGAGGAACCTTCAACCAAGAGAAGATGTCTGATACCTGACTGGAGTGAATGTACTGACAGAAAGTGGCCCTTGGTTTGAAATAACTTTTAAATTTTGGCCCAGAGAGTAACCTCTGATTTAAATATTTAAAAGTCAGTGTTTAATTACAACTCTTTGATTTTTATCACACTAAGTCTTGGTATTTTTAAAAACCTGCGTCTTAAAGCATGTTTTGCAGCTCTGGATAAGTTTTACTTGGCGAGGCGAGGAGCAGAAATGGCTCGTCTGGTTGGGAAGGACGGCAGGCGCCTGGTTCACGGTAAGAAATCACATCGAAGCAACTCTTAAAGACGCAGCTTAAATATTTAAATTTTAAAATCCCTGAAGCTTGTCGATAAACAAAAGAGAAAACCTGAGATTCATTAAAAACAAACGGCTGCAATCGCACCAATGGACAATTTCCTTCACTTGTGTAAACAAAAATGTATGCTGCTAAAAAGATTATTAATTTAAGCCCCCACCCTGCCCCCGCAGCCTTAATGTTCCCCCATGCTTGAATCGACAAGCTGCACCAGAGCATTTGTTGTGCCATATGACCCCTACTTCCAGGGACACGTTCTTACTGTATTGAATACAGCGCAGGTTATTTTAATCACCGCTGGACAAACGGGCCATTTGCAAAACAATTTGACATATTGTACTGCTCAAATTTAAATTTAAGGAACATTTGGAACAGAAGAAGCAAAACATGAAAAAAGTAAACAAAGATATTTAACTAAAAACTATAATTACGTTTTTTTCACCACTTCCGGTTTGACTTAATGTAATTATTATTATTATATTTTTTAATGTATTCGTTTTTTCATATGTTGCTCGTGGGCCACCATACTTTAGGCTTGGGGTCTAGCACAGAACAACAAGAACAGAAATCTCTGTACCTCTTTAATAGAACAACAGGGTGGGATTACATGTTGCCATTTTAATTGTATATTTTTTTTAAGTAAATGACAACTAGGGCTGCTGTTGTGAGGTTTTAAAAATGGTGGGTTTGATTCTTGTGAAGGAGACGGTCTCATGACTAGGCCTGTCGCGATAAACAACAAATCAATTAATCGCATGATAAATGAAAATGATCAACCTCATTTTCATTTATCGGCTTTATCGTGTCTCTCTTTGTGTTGAAGACACTGGATGACAAAAGGCTCAACTCCGGTGATCTTCACTGATCCCTCCCTTTCTCCTTTGTCTTTAACGTCTGTTTTAACAATCAAAAATTGCGTTTTTGGATTGTTAAAAGCAACTAAACTGAGAAGCTAAGCTACGAGCTCAGCTAACAAGCTGACCTCAGGAAAAAAAACTCTGTCTTGTCGAAACTCCAAAATTCACGGTTGAAACCCGTGCCTTCGTGTAAAAAGTTGTTTTTCTCTGCGAAAAGAAGCTGAGAACTTGTTTACTGATTTTTTATTAAACGCTTTGCATGACAAATGCTATGCTAAAGAGCTCAAACAACACAGAGTGTCCACCATTTTGAGAACAAGACAGCTCATGTCATGTCAAGGGGCCTCCCTCCCATTTTTCTTAAAGAGACACGCTGCTCGCTCCCTCACTATCCATCCTTCAGTTCAGTCTTATACTGCCATCTGGTGGTCAAAAAAGGTGCTACACACAAAACAAATTAACCAACATTTCTTCTTAAATTTGACAATAATTACTAATTATTGTCAAATTTCAAACAATATTATCGTTTATCGTAATAATTTCTGAGACAATTAATCGCCCAGCAAAATTTGTTATCGTGACAGGCCTACTCATGACTGATGTCTCTCTGGCCTATCATCATGCAGTCTGCCGGCATTAAAACTGCTGCTCGACTAGTAGCAGGTCCTTTGAGCCGAGCTGGAAGTGGATGGAACCACCCATGAAAGACTGAAGTAGGGCCGTGGAAAAGGGCCAAAAGAGTCACATGTGGCCCCAGAGCCACAGTTTGCAGACCACTGTTTAAGTGAAAACTAGCATGAAATATGCACTCTCTCAGTGAGTGGTAGATCTGAGTCTTGCTGCAGGTTCTGCCAGAGGCAGACAGTAACTGGTTGTTTTAAATTGGCCTTAATTGTTTATCCTGAGCTGCAAAGAAACAAAGATTTCACATTTATGTGGTAATTTTAATGACGTTTTAGTGGATTTGCCCTGACTCATTAATATAAATCCTCCTGTTTACTTCCCGTCAGGAGGAGTAGGAGGTGAGCAGCTGCTCAGTTTTCTATTTTCTCCTCAGTGTTTCTGCAGCTGCCGCCTGTCACTCATTTGGCGGAAGGTCGGAGAGAAAAAGGCCTTCGGTTCTTCCCGACTGTCAGACATGGAGACTAAAGCTCTAGTCTCTTTGTTCCTGCTCACGCTGCTCTACGCCGGTGAGTTCACGAGCATTATTTCAAACCTGACCTGATAAAAGCTTTCTCACGCTCTGCTCTTGGTTGGTTAGGGTGTTTGTGCAGGAACGAGGAGGAACGTCTGATCAACTACCTGTTCAAAGAGAAAGGCTACAACAAGGAGCTGCGACCTGTTGAACAGCAGAAGGACGCCGTTGATGTTTTCCTCGCTCTCACTCTCTCTAACCTCATCTCCCTGGTAAATTAAACAAAACATGTTTCCGTTGTCATATCCTACAAATATTGGTTTTGGAGACTATTCGGATCTTTAAAAGTGCTGAACTTGGTTTCAGTATTTTCCAAGTCCGGATAGATGTGGAAAAAAGACGAATGCAGAGATGAAAGTGTTTTCAGGCTTAGAAGGATATCTAATGGTGTGTCTGAAAAGTAACAGGACTGGGTGTGTTGTGTGAGCTATGGGTGAAGGAGGCATCGACCACAGTGAGCAGCTGCCACGGGGCCAGTCAGCAAGTCTACAAAGAAAACCTGCTTCTCTCGTAAAGAGACCGAGTTGTGGCAGGACACCCGAGCTTCACCTGAACATCTGGCAGATTCTGGCCAAGAACATCGCCATACTGCAACAACCTCATTATTCAACTGGTCTTGCTGCTTGTGATTTTTTTGGGGGGATGGATGAATAGATACACCATGCAGCAGTCCCAGCTGTATGCCTGCAGCTCAAAAACTTCACTTTGTTGACTTTTTGTTTCTTTGTTCACATTCACTAAACCCTCAGCCTAGAGAAAGAGTAAGGAGCTCCATCATCTGGGGGAACTCGGAGTAGAGCCGCTGCTCCACCGCATTGAAAGGAGTCAGTTGAGGTGGTTCAGACATCTGATTAGGATGCCTCATAGATGCCTCCCTTTAGTGGTTTTCCAGGGATGTCCCACTGGTAGGATGTCCCAGGGAAGACCCAGAAATCACTGGAGGAGTTGTGTATCTTCTCCAGCTGGGAAATGCCTCAGGGTCACCCATGACAAGCTAGAAAGTGTCGCTGGGGAGAGGGATGTTTGGGTTTCTCTCCTGGACCTGTTACCTTTGCAACCCGACTACAAAGAAGCAGTAGAACAAGATGAAGATGTTTTTATTGTAAACAAAACTGTTGCGATAGAAGACAAATTTTATATTGTATTGTATCAAATGCTACAGCTTATCCAAACAGGAAATGGAAAAGAAACCCTGGAAATCCAATAATGGTCAATCAGGTCATCTGGACAATTTTTTTTTTTTTGAAGAATAAGAAACTGTCCAGATGACCTGATTGACCATTATTGGATTTTGTACCTGGATGATTGAGCATGAACTTTGATGTCGAAAACCCTGGAAATGTTTTTCAAATTACTTGTCTGGAAGGATATTTTTCCATTTTAGTATGGTAAATAGCATATAGGCTGTACTTATATATTTATATAGTTCCTTTCTAGCCAACCAGGCTACTCAAACATCTTGTATACAAATCTTCAGAGGTTCAGTACCCAGGAACACTTTGACATGTGACTGCATTGTGGAATCAAGCCTCGAACTCTGTTGGAGGACGATTGCTCTAACCCCTGAGCCACAGTGGTCTTTTGATTGCATTTAGAAATTATGTATGAACCTCTGAAAAGCAGATGGTGCCGATAGGACTCTAATCCGTGTTTTTCTCTCCATGTATAGAAAGAAGTAGATGAGACGCTGCTGACAAATGTGTGGATCGATCATGTGAGTTAAAGTAGCTTTTTTCCCAATTTTGATAAAAACCTGCAGTTCTTTATCAAAACGCCTGCGTCTGTTTGTGTGTCAGACATGGAAAGACTACAGGCTAAAGTGGAATGTGTCAGAGTTTGATGGCATTGAAATGCTTCGCCTACCGCCCAGCATGGTGTGGCTGCCAGAGATTGTACTGGAGAACAAGTAAGATTGTTTTTGTTTTTTACTCATTTTTATGTGCACTTGAAACAAGCAGGCCACGCTAACCCACATCTACACACAAACCCTAGGTAATCTAACTCAAGCAAATTTACTTTCTACATGCTAATTAATGCTACATGCTAATGCTCTTGCATACCTACCTGCTAACTGTAGCAAGCACCCTAGCAAATCCACGTGCTAATCTGTGTTCCCCTACTAGGGCACCCCGCCCTGTCAACAGAACCGAGCACCCTGCCTACCGAACCGACACCCCCACCCCACCCGACAACAGCCGGCACTGATGTAGCGCTAAGCTAGCGCAATACACATGTGCTAGCTAAAAAGCTAAAGGTAGCATTCCAATTCCCTAAGCGTCCCCCACCGCCCCACTCCAACACATACGTGTCTTGGTCCCTCCCCCCCCCCCCCCCCCCCCCCCCGCCCCCCCCCCCCACCAACC